ATAAGGCAGATAAATATTTGCTAAAACTTAAGTCATAAAAACTTTTAATTCAATAAAAAATCTCCTTAATATAACCATCGACAATTTGGAAATAAATAATGGTAGTTACTTACTTTGTCATAGGTCAGAGCATCTGTTTGTTGTGTTATCGATCTGTTCTTACTCGCCGTCGTCTATAAATACATCAGTGATTATTGTCAACAATTAGTTTAGTTGCAGTCTTTCACTCTATATATGGCATAGTGAATCACTTTGTATTTTTTATATTGTATTCATTGTTGAACCTATCGTACCTAGTTGGCACTATAAGAATTCGAACGATCTAATAATATCTCAAATATACTCAAGTGTAATAAAGCCTCGGGTAGCTATTCTTACCTAACTTAAACTACTGCTTTTTAGTTACTCATTTAGCTGTTTATTAATATGTATTTATATGTATTTAGCAATCAGTTTGCCCAATTTATTTATATACTTCTGCTAATTTTCTCTGAAACTGCATATATATGGCAATACATTATTATTATTATTATAGATACATGTACTGTATGGGTGGGCAGCCGCTTGTGTTGTTTCACTAAATCATGCATTGGAAGGCGACATGCCTGACACGAAATCTGAATAAATGGAGACAAGTGTACACATTGAGATAACATTATTCCGTATAAGATTATGTGCAGTGTCGATCATGCTAACTGCGTTGCTGCCAGTCTACACTTACGTGAATCATGAGGGTGAAAGTTGGAAGACTGAAGATCTTTGTGAATAATAAATGTTTATGCACTCATTTGTACATTGCGAATCATCTGCAAATATTTTGAAATGTTATTGTGTGCTTGGCCACACGGTAACCAGAACTCACACAAGAGGATAAACGAGCGTACCCTTTGGCGGCTTTATATTTTTGAAGCTATTAAACCTCTTACACAGGCATTAACATTAACTATAATTGTTTTTATTTTTCAGAGGCAAAAATCAATAATCGTAGCTTACAAGTTGAGTGTCAATTTGGAGGATACAGGTGATGTATTCTGCATTATAGCATATCTTAACATCCCGTGTAAAGTTGTAATCAAAAGGTGTCTTACCTTGTTATTAAAAGACATTGCGAGTCTCAAGCAAAGCTGGACCAAGCAATATCCAGATGAGAGTATATTCATTGGTGGTGGCAATGTTGGTGCCGAGAAATAATGTAACCACATTTTTGTTCGCTTAAATTTCCACTCTATGTCGACTCGCTCCTAGTAAATGAATAACAAACCTTATACTATCAGATGAATACGATGAGTAAATAAACGTGTATGTTTTCTGTACGGTCTCACAATTTTAGAGAAACCGTTGCAAAGAATCCGTTTATATTCAAACTTATCTAAAACATATCAATGTCCGGCTCATGTAAATCCAGTAGGGAAATTGGCACAATTCGAGAACAGTGAACAAACGTTTGTCAGGCAGAGAGCTATGTGGAGATACTTTTATTTCAGACTCAAAGGCCCATAGAGGAATTACAACAGAAATAGCATTATTTATAAAGAAGGCGTCTATAATTACGTCAAAAACTTGACCTTGGGAATAAATCACTGTTTATACTACTATCAATTATACTACTGCCACTCTGAAACAATCGCTGTTTAAAATTGTACAATGATTTTCTACGAAGTGTTGAAATTTGAAAATATTTCTTCTGACACAATTACCGCTTGCACTGCTCTTATGAAAGAGTGAGCACACGAATTTCCGTATACAATAATTAAGACATGTGAGTAGCACAGATGCAAGTCAACTGCACACTACAAAACTCACCTGTAGTCTAGAATATGTATCTGACATCATTGCAATACAGAGGTTCACCAACACCAGTACGACAATCAGACAGAATATTGAATAAAGCGTGAATCCAAGTGCCGAATACACATCCGAGGCTCTTTCGTTAAACACTGAACTAACATTAAATTTGACAGACACATCTAATACATCGGATTCAACAATATCACCAAACACACTACCGAGAAGTGACGTTATTGTTGTTGTCAGCCTAGGTAAAATTGAAATGAAAATAATGTTTTATCAAACAACAAAATTTCCATAATCATATCAAATTCAAATTTATTAGTATATCATGTTCAGGTTTTGTGATAGCGTCATTATCAGTGCGTATTGTATAGTATACAGCTGGTATAATAAAACGAGAATCTGCTGCAGTGGCGACATGCATACATGCATATATATATGTTCTATTTTTATAGAAGAACCTCCCCAACTAAAAGAAATTCTAAAATTTTAAAATATAAGAGGTAGTCACTAAACCATGTACTTCACAC